GGAATCCCAAACTGGAATTAAGATCTCCGGAAGAAATATCAACAACCTCAGATATGCAGATGATACTACTCTGATGGCAGAAACTAAGGAGGAATTAAAGAACCTCTTAATGAGGGTGAAAGAGGAGAGCGCCAAAAATGGTCTGAAGCTCAACATTAAAAAACTAAGATCATGGCCACTGGTCCCATCACCTCCTGGCAAATAGAAGGGGAAGATATGGAGGCAGTGACAGACTTTACTTTCTTGGGATCCATGATCACTGCAGATGGTGACAGCAGCCACAAAATTAAGAGACACCTGCTTCTTGGGAGGAAAGTGATGACAAAGAGAACAAACCTCTCTATTTTGAAGAAAATCAACCCTGAGTGCTCACTGGAAGGACAGATCCTGAAGCTGAGGCTCCAATACTTTGGCCATCTCATGAGAAGACTCCCTGGAAAAGACCCTGTTGTTGGGAAAGTGTGAAAGCAAGAGGAGAAGGGGACGACAGAGGATGAGATGGTTGGACAGTGTCACTGAAGCTATCAACATGATTTTGACCCAACTCTGGGAGGCAGTGGAAGACAGGAGGGCCTGGCGTGCTCTGGTCCATGGGGTCACGAAGAGTCAGTCACGACTTAACGACTAAACAAAAAAGTTCATCTTACCATGGGGTCTCTCAAAAGTTGAAAAACAAGATGAAAATGTGATCTCCAGAAAATCAGAAGAAGGAGGTTCAATATAATCTAGAAACCAATTCAGTTTACAAAAATGAAAGAAAACAGCATCCAAGTAACATCCAACTCCCCTCACTATCAGCTGGACTTGAAAAACATGTGACCCATAGAGTTGGAAAGGATATAAAACAATAGACCAATATTTTCAGATGCATTGGAAATGTGGGGGAAAATCATTCGAGGGGCAATTCATGAAAATTATTAACATGGATGTCTAATTCAATCCTAAACTGGACCTACTAGCACTATTTATGGGATAAAACAAAATAATCAGAATATTGTTCTTGTGAGAGGGGATGTAGACAGACATATTATAGCAAAAAACTCAAAAAGCAAATGAAGATCTCTCTTTGGACCTCTTGTATCAATATGTTTGAATATAATCCTGGCAGAAAAACTATGTACGTTAGAGGTCAATAAATCAGATGTGAAATGGCCCCATTCTTACCAGTTTGTTATCTGTGTTGCACAATACATTAACAAAGATGAAATGGAGGGAACATGGAGAAATTGCAGACTCTATTAAAAAATTAAACTGCGGACTAAGGAAAAAGGCTATTTCAGTCCCATTTTTAAAAGGTACAGAATTATCCCCCTTAGGCTTAAAATATCCTGTCTGAATTAACAGAATGGTTTAATTAAAGACCTAGACAGAGAATCATGTTTAGTTTGATTTTTAGAAAAAGCACTGCATCCATCCATGGTGAGTGGCCAATTTCCGTATCTGTATCTCTGTGTAATATTCAACTGCTTTAAAAAAAAACTATTGCCCAAGGGAATAAACGGGAGCCTACTAGAAGAGCCATATGCCACTGAAAATGAATGCCATCAATTAGAATGAGGGAAAGCACAATAAATTTGCAAGCCGCTAAGTGGGTAGAAGAAGACTGATCCTATTTACAAGAGCAAAAAATATAGTCTAACTCATTGACATAAACATTACAAAGACCAGCTCTAAATTAGCAAATTATACCGTTTCCTACAGAATATGTAACACTTCTAGGGAAATAAAAAATAAGTTCTACCAGGCTACATATAGCAAGCAGAAACTGAACACCCTTCTTCATAATCAAACAAAATCCAAAACAAAATAAAACAAAAAAATCACCACTGTACATCACTTAACTATACTGAAGACAGCAGGATCAAATGTTGTCTCTTCCTCGTGAACTCCCCCAGCAACCTTGACTCAAAGATAATCATTGTGTTCCAAAGAAACAAATAGGTTAATGCTACCTAGAGTTCACTGTCTATGCCAACGCAAAGACAGCAATCATATTTAAGTCAGCAAGAGGGATGTGGTGTTTGTTGTTCATTTTCCTTTTGAAAATCCAAGTCCTAGAATTCTCCAAGCATTCCTCAGGTGGAGTCCAGTCCACAGATCCGTATCTACAGACACCTATCTTTCACTCACCTGGAGAACGGCCTAATTCCATGGATGTATGGCCTTGCTATTTTGTTTAATATTCAAAAATGAAAAATATTCAAAAATGAAAGCTCCCACAGTGGTTCCTGGAAGCAGTAGTTCTTCAGGAAGCACCCTCTATGAAGCCGAAAGAGCAGCGAGACTACCACTCCCATGAAGCACCACAACAGCTTTTTTTTTTTGGTGCATTAACAAAACAAAGCAAGCCCAGAGTTAGACCTTGCAACCTTGGAGCAAGGTCAAGTGAGTGAAATGTAGACATCTGTAGGTATGTCCCCAAGCAACTGGCCAAACTGAAAAATGGTTTTGGCCTAACAAAAGTTACCTGATCCAGATTTACATTAATTTCACAACCAAACCTGGCTTTCAGGTTACTCAGCTCCTCTTAGAAAGAAACAAAACCCTGTGCCAAACCTCATCTGTGTACATTTTCACACTTACTATCTATTAAAAATTCCTCTAACAAAACACCACTGTGCCAAGCATTATGTTTTGAGTAACACTAACTAAATTATTTCCCAATTATTTACCTCTTATCAGATCTGAATCTTTTTTATCATTCTTTATAATTACTTTCACTGACTGAAGAGTGAGTCAATAGACTACCAGCCTGAAGGAGACTGTACGCAAGATTATGTATGGTTTTCTAAACTATTAGTAAGTTTTTGTATGAAAGGTGATAGGTGGAATAAATAGGCTTTTCAAATGTTATAACATTACTTATAATGATGTCAATCAAACATCTCTTCACATGTTCTAAACAAGCTAATTCAGAAGTCATTCATTTCATTATTTATATCCTCAACACTACTCCTCTACTTCTATTAAGGATAGCAAAGCTCCAACAGTTAAGAGCATCCAATTGCACACTGCATCTCAGCAATGCTCAAAGGAAAGATGTCTAGAAGGCTCACAAAAGCCACTCTCAGCTTTCTAAGGAAAAACAAAATGTAAATAAAAATTAATCCTGGCAAGGAATATAAATTACAAAAATTGTGTATCCTTAAAAATCACACATGAAGAAAAATGCTTCAATATGCCACTTTAAAGGAAGGTGTATGTCGAAGCAGAGAAGTTAACCATAGAAAGAACAAAAAAGAACAATGATATTTGTTTTGGGGCTCAAACCTTTAAACAATTCAGTACTCAGAAAAACAGAAAGGTAAGGCAATCCTATGGGGGCAGAAGCGGGAAATGATAAACTGATGGAACTCCCAAATCAAAAGTCATGCTGGGCCCCTGGCTGGTCAAGCAGGAGGAGGAGGTGGCAGCTAGTTCTTGGGCTGTATTACTAAGAAAAAGGCCTGTAAAACATTAATTAACTAGATTTAAACTTTTGAAATGCACATGCTTATAAAACAGCACATGGCCAGTAGCACCTTAAATGTTTCCCATATTCTGTCGCACAGGAGGAAACCTTTCTTCTAAAATGATGCTTGCCACAATATACATTTATCATTAGGAAAAAAAAGTATGACCCCTGCTTCAAAGCTATCGTTTTTACCCATATGAAAATATAATCAATAAATTTTAATTAGTTTATTGATTAAAAACCAACATGACTGACTGCGATTTCAGCAAGTAGTTGAGTGCAAATCACCTGTATACATTTTTAATACATTGAGAGAGGCTCTTTTTTAAGTACTTCAGTTTCATTTATTGCAGAGTCCAATCACATATATCTGTGAAACATACTGTATGTATAGATATCTGTGAAACCTAAGGAAGATGTTTTTTTCTACCATTATTACTTCTTTTTACTGGCACAACTTTTGAGTGATCTGTTTCGGTTAACTAATGTCCAATTTTACGCTTTCTCATTTTGGGATGCATAAAGTTGCTTTTAAATGATCTTTTTGGTCTACAGTTTTTACATGATCTATCAATCTGAGCCTTTATAATTCTGTATACCAGTAAACAGCCAACATAACTTTGTTCAATCATGTTCACAACTTTTACAAGCTTTTCTTTTCCCTGTGATTTCTGTTTCAGCAACAGCACATGACTGAAAAGAAACCCTGTTAGTCTTTCCAATAGTGGTTCACAGAACAGTTTGAAAACTACTATCAAGAGAATGGTGGCTTTTACTGTATATGCATGCAGGACATATTTTTGTGGTCAAATAAGCATGTAAAAGTTTGAAGTTCTTTTGGACAATGCAATGGGCCTTTCACAGTGAACATTTAAAAGCTGCACCTATTTATAGTACATTGATTTTTCTGACTTGTTTTAGCCACTCCTATGAAGGGAAGAACTTCTAGGGCATACAAGCTGCATGAAAATGCTAAATTACAGTATAGCAAAATAAGTCAGATAGTCTCTAGTTTAACATGATGTACACACAAGGCCACCTTGGAACAGTCAGGATTTCTGTACCTTGTGGGTAATACAACTGGCAAAGTGAAATACACACTTAGGCAAGAAAGACAGAAGCAAAGTAAGCCTGATGCCAAATTTTGGTTCTATTGTTACGCACAAACACAAACACATAGTGTACTGGCTGTTCAGGTTAAGGTGCATTTACACTGAATGCACTTGACAGTCAACCAGTAATACTTAAACATGTTATTCAGATATGGCCAAATAGTTTTTCTCCTCCTCAGACATATTTTACATGTTATATGTATTGTAACAACATTAATGGAATTAGCTAGCTTCAACAATTACTAAGAGAAAAGGCTTAAATACAAACAAAACTAATTTTCACTTATATATTGCCAAAGCAATTACTATCACTTAGACATATTCACAGCTTTAGCACAGATCTCAAAAACTATACATTGTTGTTGTAAATCAGCTTTGCTGGGTATTCATAGAATGTTCTCTATCACGTTCACATATATTTAATATTCACGCACCTTTTTTAAGCCAGCAAAGCCCTCTGATTCCAGAAAGAAGAAAGCAAACGGCATCAATACAAACAAACAAAGGTTGGAAAATAGTGAAGCAAGATTCCACAAACCTGGACAAAACAAGAAGACATTATTTGTTACTTACGAAAACTACAAAATATTTGAAACATAATATAAAAAAAGTTTCAGCACCATAAGAGCACGTTTCCAGAAAACTCTCATTCAAGCACAGCCACGAAGTCATGTATTTCTAAAGCATCTCAAATCTGCCAGATGTAGAGGTACATTTTAAGGATGAATTCTAACTGTCATTCACTAGGATTTTTAAAAAACACCTTAAATAAGTTGTGGGGCATTTTCTGACCCCAATGAGGATTCCAAGGCATAGAAGGTTCAAAGTACAGCTGCAGTTAGAAAACCAGTTTCATGCATGTCCCCCATATTTCCTAACCTCAGTGAGAATTTCAGTGCACCTTGACCAGCACTTCAAATGGGGCAATGGCAGCCGCTTGCATTGCGGCTCATGAAAAAGTACAAAAGGAATTTCTGTCCCAGTACTGCAGATTGCATAGTGTGCTGGAAAGTCGGGAGCTGGTTATTAGAGCCCCCAATATGCCTTACAGGAGAAGAGCCAACTGAGATAATGCTGAGCATGTGAGGTTGATGAGACTATACGTACGTCCTGCCACTTGTGCAGCCTTGGGCAAACTTCAGAGTCCCAGAGTCCCATCAGAAGGAGGGACTCAGTGCAGCCTTGGGCAAACTTCAGAGTCCCATCAGAAGGAGGGACTCGTAACTTACTTCTGAGTAACTTATGCCCAGAAAACTATGGAAGGGATGAACTTGATGGATGGACAAGTATCCTAATGGCAAAAAGCAATAGGTTTCCTGGAATATTTTTTCTCAGTCTTTTTGTGTTTGTTAAAAGAATCTATACATAGCAAGTCACTAAAACTTGGAGGCATTGTCACCTACTGGTTGAAACCCTGGTTGACACCCAGAATAGCAGGTCACACTAGAGTAGGCCCACTGAATCAGTGGCCATTGGTGAGCCAATTCCTCCATAAGTTCCATTGATTCAAGTGGCCTTATTCTGGTTGCAACGTAACACACTAAGCAACAAGGTTTCACCCACCAAGCTGTAGACAGTGGGCAAAGTCTTCCATAACATTACACAACACAAGCCAGATGTCATCATCCAGCTCCTGTAATTTAAACTAATTAAAAGACTATGGTTTGTCTTGTGGAAGCCTTTGGATGGGTAGCCTTTAACAAGAAAAAAATTGTTGCCAGATTGACGCAGTGATCTGATGTTGATTTCTAACCTTTAGAGTTCCCCAACCCCATTCCAAAGTTCCCAAAGGATTCCCCTAGGGAAAACAGAGCCAAGAACCTAAAAGGGAAGGATAGAACATTTAAAATTAGTTTAAATTAAATATTACTGGTGCCTAAATATGATGTAATTCAATTTGTACCATGTATCACAACCAGGATTTTAGACAATGTAACAGAATGTTTTCATGGCAGGTCCAGTTCTATACATTTTCTGTAAGAAAATGTGCCCTGTCATTGTGCATGAAAATAAAAATGAGAATTTAAATTTCAATCCTTGCCAATTTAAGGAACTTGTGATACAGTGCAAACAAGTCCTCCCAGGTAGAGTAAGGGCAGGAGCCATTGCACTTACTCTGATTTCCAACACAGGAAGGATTTTGCATTGCAATACAAGAGATATACCTTAAGTATTTATATCACCATGAAAGAAACTACATTACACAGAGTACTTTATGAACAATCATTCTAACCTTGCTGGCTTACCTGTGATAACATCTCAGTATTAAAGTGTTTAAGTATTAGAAAACTGCAATTAAGCATTTTACCAAGTCTACTAATGCCTCACCCTCGCCTACAGTATTTTGTGGAAGAAAAAGCAAGACTTGTGTTGTCTTGTGTGCCTAGGCAATTTGCACTATATTCTAGCTCCATCTGCTGGACACTCAAAACACAGCAAAAGTGTCACATCTGACAAGCTCCCTGTAGTTTCCTGACAATTCTTCCTTTTTCGTAGAGAACCAAATTTATGTGGTGTTGCACATATTTAAAATTAATGTTTTTCACTTCAAAGAGATTATCTTCTTTGGCTTTGAGGAATACTGTAAAAGACTCACTGGGCTATAATAATGTCAAATTTAATAAACCTGGTAACTAGTAGCACTTGCACTGGGCACAAACAGTTCTAAGTTCAATAGCAAGTATTTTAAAAGGGAATTTCTCTATGGATAGCTTGCATCAAAGTATATTTTTAATAGAAATAATAGAAATGGGAGTAATAAAAACAAAGATTTTGCATAAACCTTTATGAATTCCTGCCTCAGAGTGTAAACTGTGATCTTAGCTTAGAAAGGCTTGTAAAAAAGCTCATATAAGACTGTAAATAGCCCATCTAATTAACACATTACTCTATCATAGTTATTTTACCATTGATATTTTACCACTGTTAATTTATGCCAGAGGTTCTCACATTCTTTACAGCACAAAGCCTCTAATAAAGACCTATATATCAAAGATACTATCATCACAATGTTTAACACTCACTGACTTTCTCAGCAACCAATCAGATCTCTGTATTTTGATAACTATATCTTGATGCCATGTACAAATACTTGCCACATTATATCTCCTTCTCTTATGGCTGATGAAGTGGACTTCTCCACGAAAGCTCACATTAAAAATATGTAAGTTAATCTTTAAGGTGCCACTACAGTTTTGTCTTTTTTTACTTTTTATTTTTATTTTGTTTTCATCTATTATATTAGAGAATGGTACATAATGCATCTCATAGTTCTCTGTAAAAAAGATACTCTCAAATCTAAGACCATAATTTGCACCTGCAACAGGAATTCTGAAAAGCTTATGCAAAATATTTGTTTTTATTAGCTCAATTTTTAATCCAACAAAAAAACTGATATATTAAACATTTCAAACAGCAATAATATCCATGACACTACACAACAACAAAAAAGACTGATTACTTCCCTAAAATTTCAAGGTGTAGACTACAATCCACACAATAATGTAACTACACTAGGACTATTTCAAGGTTCTGTGAAATAAAATTAATCCTATTCTTCACAAGCTACCTATTCCCTTATTACATGTGTTAACCCACCTTTCTTTCAAGCAATTCAGGGAAGCAAATAAATTCACTTATTTTATTGATTTACTTGTTATTTCACCTCTCACAGAGAACTGCAACTCCAGAAAATGCATAAGATTAGGCAAGAGATTTACTTGAAAAATTATAATAAAATATTACCATATTAAAATATAATAAAACAAATATAAATATAAAATACAATGAAAGTCAAAAAGTAAAACACTATCAAAATATAATTTTAAGTGTATCACTAGAAAGATACACAGTACCACCATCAGAAGCAAAACAATTGCCAAAAGCCACTTGAATAAGGTCTTTTTCTGCTTCAAAAAAAACAACAAAGACTAAGCCGACCTCCCCTAGTAGGGAATTCCACTGGCATTATCTCTCTTATCCACCTGCCATCCTCACAACATCAGGATGAACTGGCCTAAGTTTAGCTAGTGAGAAACTAGAACCCTTGTCCCTCTAATTCTAATCCACCCAGTATACTACATGATAACTACTACAACATGCTAGCTCTACCACCTTCCAAACAAGGAAATGAACAATTCTTGCCTTCTTCCACTATGAGCAAACTTATCTTAACAGTTTGCTGCAACTTGAAGTACCAACAACTCCTATATACCTGTCAATCATTAGACACTACAGTTGAAACAGCAGTCTCTGAGACTTTTCAATTCAGCCTTTTAAAAAATATTATCCCCTCCAATTCAGGAACAATTAAGTTATTCTAACATTGGAATAAAACAATAGCTTTTTCTCGCCTTCCTTCTCCCCATATGAAAGCAGAATACTGATGCTATCACCCCAATAAGGATCCTCTGGTAGAGGGCATCCCAGTTCTTATCTCATTATATAGATTCAATTTTTTAAAAAAAAAATAGCATTGGATTTTTATGCTATTCTGTCCCAAAGGCTCAACATAGGTAACAACAATAGCTCTACATTATCACTTGCTAACAAATGACAGTTTGAATAAAAACTTCTTACATCAGTTCCATAATATGTAAGCTTAAGCTTTATTTGATAACCACCAAATAAAAACAGAATTTCAGGCTGACTGATAGGCATCATCTGTTTCGCTGAACTTAGACTAGAACATTTTTTCTCAAGATACTCTGCATGTCTTTATGATTCTGATCTGCTGAATAAGTGGTATGCTTCACGAGAATACAAATTTGACTTCCAATATTAAAATTATGTAATACTAACCATGAATTAGAGAGCCATTTAGCCACTGAATATAGTAACTGTGCGGAAAAGAGAGCAGTATTTCATTGCTGATTATGGAGAAAGGTAGGAGAAGGACAGCACCAGCCGAAACTGCAAGAGTAAAGGTACTCAAGAATAGCCTGTAAGTCAAAAAGATGCATTATTGTTGCAGTCAAAGTAATAGGGTGGAAATTAATATTATTTGAATAACTATTTCTTAAAGCTTCAAGAAAAGAATACCATATCTTTTCAATAATAAACAAACTATTTTTTTATACTCAGCAATATAGAATATAATTTTAGAAGAAGAAAAAACAGAATGGAGGCAAAATCTTAACACTCAATGTACCATTTTTCATAGCTTTTTAAAGCATTGTTTCTAGAGGCAAGGAAATGAAGACAATCATAAAAGGAAATTCTACTCCATTAAACAGAACTTTGAGAAAACAGTATCTTAAGCAACCACATATGAAGCTGAACTATGTACATGACCTTCTAAGTTTATATCTACCTCTACTTTCTTTGCCTTCCTCTATTATCTTGACTATAAGGCTTTCAGAACAGGTCTCTTTCCTGTTGTACTTTATAAAGCATCAAACACAACTGAGACAAACGATAATAATTTGTGATAATTAAACCGCTAAGGAAATATTTAAAAGGTCACGTTTGAGCCTAAGGAAACAGATGTTCATGTTTTTCTTCATTCTCCTTTTTTTTAATTTTATAGGTATGCATACATGAATATTGTTTAGGATAAGAAGAGATCTTTAGCCTCCAAAACTGGATTCTTTAGAAAACGCCTAAAGAATTCTTGAGATACTCTGGAATAGAACTGTAAAATCTGATATGCTTGACAAAAGAGAGGGAGGGAGGCACAACAAATGTACCTTGGGCCTACTCTGGTTAGACGTTCTCCACCTCTGCCTCTCCAAGTTCATTTACCTCCACCAACGTCCTTCAGAAGGAAATTAATGACCCTTCCATTGCTAATGTTTTAATAGAACTGTAATAAATAGAATACTATTCTTGAAAAAAAAACTTTAAAAAAATCTATCAGTTATCAACCTGATTTTCACACATTTCCACTCATTCAAAACTACTTGCAATGAATCTCTCAAATTAAAAAATTTATAAGATTACAAATACTTTCTTTTACAAAAATGGATTTGATATTCTAGTAAACTCTACTATTCAACTGAATTTAAAATGTGACACTAAATTCTACATCTGCCTAGGGATCATACTATGTAACATGCTAAATCAGCACATCAAATTTGTTCCTCATGAAAAAAAGACAAGTTGAACTTGTTAATGTTAAGGAAAACACTCCCTCTGCTGTAAAATACAAGTACTGCTGATATATTAAAAAGTCAACTCTGTAGGACAATTCAGAAGTTTCCTATAGAGATGAATGCCAAAAGAGAAACACACGGTCCAATATGCCAGGACCCAAGGAACATGGCAGAAAACTATCAGAACATGGCAGATGCTTATGCAGCTTTTCTTCTGCTCCATATTTATGCAAGAAGATAGTAGTCATAATTATTAAAGCTTTGGTATTTACAAAGTACTTAGAAGTAATGAAAAAAATTAAATATACATACGAAATTCTATTAACAATAGCATCTTCATCCTCTTGCTCATCTGAAATAAAAAGCATGGTTTTATGTTCTATTTTAATGCAAAGAATGTTGTAAACTGTTTTAAACTCATATTTAATATACAGTACTCTAACAATAAAACCTGTGATGTCAGAAAAAGAGTTGGCATAGTCTTTCACCCAAATCTTTTTTCCTTGACAATGTCAAGCTCAGGATTTGCAGCTCTCTTATTCATTACTCCTCACTAAACAGAAGTGTTTTTGGACAGACAGCCTACCCTAACCTCCCCTCTCCCAAGTACTGGATGACAACATTAAAACCAAAGCTGACGGCAGGTAACAGGAAATGTATTCCAGCACCTGGTGTGAGGAAGGCTAGGAAGAGGCTGGTCTACCTAGAAAGCAAAAATGGAAAGAGAGTCATTCACTCTTCTCTCAAGGTTCTCTCCGTATACAAACAAGAAATACATATCCCTGTGGGACGATATACACTGGTTATTTTCCAGTATGTGGACATGATATACATTTCAGATAAAAGCATTTTTTTCACAAGAGGCCCAAGATCAGGAAGAAAAAAGTGGCTCATGCTTTTCCCCTGGTAAGAAAATTGAGTTTTTGACACAGCACTAGATTTTTGTTCCCTGTGTTCTAGGTTCCCCTTAACATTTAATCCAGTCGTGTCCGACTCTATGGCACGGTGCTCATCCCCATCTCCAAGCTGTAGAGCCAGCGTTTGTCCATAGACAGTTTCCGTGGTCATGTGGCCAGAGCCACTAGACATGGAACACCATTACCTTCCCACCGAGGTGGTACCTATTTATCTACTCGCATTTACATGCTTTCGAACTGCTAGGTTGGCAGGAGCTCGAACAAGCAACAGGCCACAACAACCATTATGTTAGTTTATTTTATGTTCAGTAGAATCTGCTACTTTAATTTCTACTATTAGACCATGACATTTCCCCATGTAACTTAGTACTGAATGTTCTTGTTTGATTATTTATGAACTCTGAAAAAGAAACAAATAACAAACTGAAAGGCAATCTATTTTTAAGTGGTACTGTGAAAGACAATGTTAAAAGAATCTTATGAAAAAATTATAGATATGATTTAACAGATTACAGTTCAAAATTTAATATTGTAAAATGATTTGGATGCTGACATTCAATGCAGAAATGTCTTTAACACAACAGTTGAAATCCAGTAGTAAGTCTCAACTGGAATAGAACCACTGAATCATGGAAACTTACAGAGGAGTCAACTAACCAAATTCCCACTAATTCAATTACTTACTCTAGTTGCTCCTTACGACTTACTACTACTACTACTACTACTACTACTACTAGGATCCTACTGGGCGTGAGTGTTGATGGAAGGAAAAGGTGACACTCCTTATGGATACACACATATTAAAACAAAGGCAGGCCTTTGTTTTAATAAAGCTACTTCTATATTATTCAAGTCATAGACTTTGCAAGTGAAAGAAAATTGGAAATATAATATCTAATGGAAACTGAAGACAATACTGCAGTAAATAGCAAGATTTTATTATCTGCTTGGGAATAGTCACAACACTATGAGCTATAGAAATGCATAGTTACACATTAGTTACACTACAATGCAAGTGGGAAGACACATTCTAATGTTCATACATGTGAAAATAATATAACAGGCAGGGATCTGACTTCAAATGCATATGTGCATATACAATTATTTATTTTTACTGTCCCTGATCCAACAAATAAAACTACATCAGCATAAAGATCCTATCTGAAATGGGACTAATATATAAATCTGTGATAATGTTGAGAAGAAACTCAGAAAGTATCGCTATAGAACTTTAATATTAATATCTTCACTAGCTTATTTATTTAAAATGTTTTTAAAACAATGTATTCTCAAAGGCTTTCATGGCCGGGATCTGATGGTTGTTGTATGTTTTTCAGGCTGTTTGGCTGTGTTCTTAAGGTGTTTCTTCCTAACATTTCGCCAGTCTCTGTGGCCAGCATCTTCAGAGGACAGGAGTCAGAACTCTGTGTGTGCTCTGGTGCAGTTTGTGGGATAGTTGAGTATTTACACACAACCTACAAACAGTATTTAGGCCCACCACAAAAATACAACAAATGTTACAGTCAGCAAAGGACAAAAGGGACCCCCCTCACCACTGCAGGAGTATACCGGATACCTTGCAGTTGTGGCCAGGTATATATTGAAACCAAGAAACGCAGCATCCACACCAGAATCAAAGAACATGAAAGACACTGCAGACTAAAACAACCGGAAAAATCGGCAGTAGCTGAACACGCCCTAAAACAAGCTGGACATTAATTTCTATTTCAAAACACAGAAGTACTGGACAACACCAGCATTCATTATGTTAGACTCCACAGGGAAACCATTGAAATTCACAAACACCAGCAGAGTTTCAACGAAAAAGTAGAAAGTCTAAACTCCACAAAACCTTGTTCCCAGCACTGAAAAATACAGCCTGCAAAAGGTCAACAAACTCTACCCAGCCACAAGCACCAGTGATCAATGCGCACAAAAGACTAGCTAATGACACCCATCAATCACAGTGACAGATAATCTCTCCCCCTTATCACAACAATACACCCACAACAACAAAAACACACTGATCACCACAATCTCCTGAAAAGGGCAAAAGCTGATCCCACAGCTATAAATACTCAACTATCCCACATACGGCACCAGAGAACAGAGTTGTGACTCCTGTCCTCTGAAGATGCCGGCCACAGAGACTGGTGAAACTTTGGGAAGAAAAACCTTAAGAACATGGCCAAACAGCCCGAAAAACCTACAACAATCATTTTTAAAACAACCTTCAATCTTGCAGATTTCTTGGCAGATTGCAAGGATAAAAATATATAATAATGTTTTTATATTTTTAATATATAAATAGTGGTATGTCACATACTGTGACTGCCATAAAATTATGATAAAATTTGCTATCCTGAATTATGCATTTATACAACAACCATAAAATTATTGGTAACAGTCAAATCTGATGCATGCAACTTCATAAAACACAAGAGACTACATTGCAACAGTTTGGCAGGTAGGTGGCAGCATGACACAGATTTCATGCTATCCTTTTTGGTAAACACACTTAAAAGACAATCTGAAGTAACTATTGCATATACTCCCATTTTAATAGCCTCATGGCAGTCAGGACTCTGAGGTCTTATTAAAGCTTAATATCTGTAAACAGGTTGATAGAATAAGGTTATTTTCACATGCTTACACATAATTGAACTTTATTTTATTTATTAAAATATTTTTGACCTATATTATATTCACAGATCTCAGGGCAGGGTAAAATCAGTAAAATCACATTAAAAGACAGGGCCCTCATTCAGCCTATTTTAGCATCCAAATGCTGGTTCAGCAGCTGCACAGCTTCACTTCACACCAGTGACAGGAAAAAAAATGGAACTTCATTGTCATCAGCATTTTGACAGCACTCAACTCCAAAGTTCCTGATTAGCTCAACCAGCAGCTTCAAATAGATGTTAAAGAACTTGTGGGACAAATAAAATCCTTTGGTACCACACAACTTAACAGAATCCCCCATGTTAGAAAAGCATTCTTTGCAAATGACCCTGCAGGTAACAGTAAACCACTTTACCTCAATTCCTCCCATTCCCATCCCACATGGTGTCATTAAGACACCATGATCAACAGTATCAAAAGTTACTGAAAAATCCAAGAGAGCCAACAGGGTAGCAATCACTCATCTCTCTTGAATGAGATCATTTGTCAGGGCAGCTAAGCCCTCCCCAGTCCAAAACCCTGCCCAAACCTAGCCTGAAACCAGACTGAAATGAGTCTAATCAGCTTCCTCTAAGAAGGTCTAAAGCAGTCCAGACACCTTGTCCTCCTAAAGGGATGTTTGCAGTGGGACAGCAGTTTGCATATAGCTTTGGATCTAGTGAGAACTTCCTGAGGGGAGAGCATATCACTACCTCTTTCAGGTGACAGGCACTGACTCTTATCATTCCCTGTACTGAGCCAGCCAATCCATTTCTCCTGCCATGGGTGGAGCTGACAGGGAGTGGGGCAGACAGGTTTAAGTATCTTGTCCACATCCTCAGCTGTAGTAACTGAAATTGATCCCAAATAGCTTGACTAAAAGGCATTCTGGGCATCTGCCCAGATATTGTTACAGATGTTGCATCCAGTCCCCAACAACTTTATCCTTAAAGGATGTTTGTGACAGCAGGTGACTAAAAGGCTGACTACTAGCCCTTCTGAGCTATAGCCAAATAAGCTCTTTGTGTATGAGACAGCTCTGCTGGTTCAAAAGCACTGTTTCAGAACAAAAGCATGTGAGATCATGATAATGGTGCTGATACTTGACTAACGAATTCCATCATTGAGTAAAACCTTGTCTCCAAGAACAAGGATGGCAGGATTAAACCCTGAGAGATGGGAGCATCCACTAGCTCCCTTTTCTATAGACTGAGTTTATCCAGAATACTGTTTCCCAAATTACCCAACCAGATCCTAAGGGGAAGCCTGCACGCAGCACTCTCTCATGTTTTGATTCCCAATAACTTAAGCCCAGATATACGTAGAAAAGCTAGCTGACTGGAATATGCTTTCTGAAAAATTCACATTGCAAGCAAAACAATTTGGAAAAAGGCAAGAAAGTGGTGCCCCAAACTGGCCATGGTCTCCTGTCAAATGCAACCATACTAGTGGAAGCATACACACACATTCTCCCCCTCATCACCTGAAAACAGCTTTTGGTGCTTTGACAATATGCAACACTCACTACCATATCACAGACAGTTTTCTATTTTGCATTTTTTTTTCTGGTCAGTATATTTATATGAAAACAATTACCTCCTTTCCTCTTATATCTTCTGATTATGAAGTAGGAAACAATATACAGAATAGCAAACAGAAGAAAGCAGATCTGAAAGAGAAAGGTTTAGAGTTCAAAATGTTGATCAAATAACAAAAAACATTTTCATTTAGGAAACATTAAAATGAGAAAAGCTACAATAAAATTACACATTTAAGCACTTACCATGGGTATAACTAATATGCAATGCTCACTTTGGTGAATTTTACAGTTTTCCCCAGATATTAACTAAGCAATTGCAAAGGACACAAATCAGGAGATACAATTGTAAATACACTTACAGTATGTAATAAGACTTATTATTAAAATATATATTTAATAGAAAAATATAAAAGTCTGAGAGCATTTATAACAATCTACTACTAAGTATACACTGTGTTTCCCCGAAAATAAGAGAGGGTCTTATATTAATTTTTGCTCCAAATATGCACTAGGGCTTATTTTCAGGGGATGATTTAATTTTTTTATGTACAACATTTATTCAAATACAGTCATGTCATCTTCTGGTTGCTGTACAATGGTGGAGGGCAGGGTTTCACTTAACTGGGGCTTATTTTGGGGGTAGGGCTTATATTACGAGCATCCTGAAAAATCATACTAGGACTTATTTTCAGGGGAACAAGTTAGTACACACCAATGCCTGTTTTGTTTTCTCAACTGGCAAGCTCCTTAGGCAGATGCAACAGACTTCTCATGAAATACACGACTGGAAATTTACGATGTAAGCTCAAGTTGCAGAAACAGGCATATGCAAATATAAGGTGTACACCAAAATGTGGCTGGAGCTGGTAATGAGCAGGGCCTCAAGTGACATGAGATCACAGACTGCATCACTTCCACCTACATCATATTCAGCCTACAAACATCCAAATACGCAGAAAATACATATCACTGTGGACAATGCTGGTATCGCTAAGGAAAAATCTAAAGAACATATGTAAACTAGAATTTAATCTGAGCAAGGATCCAACACTTGGATTTCATTTATACATGCCTGGATTTCTTTAAAAATGGATGAAATTACATATGTAGACTAAGTTACAACATGACACATATTTATAAATAGGAATCCATACTGAAATGGGATGGGACAGAATTTGATTCAGGTGTAGATATTTCTACAGAAGAAAGCTGTAACTGAAAGGCCACAATTTTCCTGCAGTTTTATGTGCCCATGTGAGGAATCAAACTCCTAAACTCTGGCTCTGCAGCCATATACCTAAACCGGTGAGCTATCCAGACAGCTAACTCTATAACAGAAGCAATAAATTTGTGAAACGGGACTGGCTTTATCAGAAAAAAAAATAAATTCAAAGCCTTAATATATTCAAAAGTAAACTTAATGCAGTTTACTTTTTTTTAAATGAAGGCATTGACTTCAGAGGATTACTACCCTTACCTGCTATGGAGGCTAGAAAAACACTACTAAGGCCCTGGCCTCCTTTTGACGCACCCAAGAAATGACAGGGACTACCACCTTACCCTGTGTAGACACTATGATTTACAATAAGGGTGTCACCAGATGTTCTAAGTGGAGGCAACAACTGGAATTGCTTCTTACACTTTCTATATGATGTTTAGAGTAGATCAAAGACTTTTGCATCTCTTGTTGAGCATACAGGAAATCTACAGCATACAGGAAGCAAAAGATACTCATACTTCCTCTTGCTGCTACTTCTTTGCATATCTGAAAGTGTTACTGCTTTCAGTGTAAACCAGAATTACTTAACTCCATGACTTGAATCCAAGCCCTATGGCACAGCACTGCAGCCCAAACTCTGCTCACAACCCAGGTTCAATCCCAGATAGCAGGCTCAAGGTTCATTCAGTCCTTCTAAGGTTGGTAAATTGAGTACCCAGATTGCTGAGGGATGGAGGCAATGTACAGCCTGCATAATTAATTTGTAAAGCAGCCAGAGTGCTTAAAGCACGACAGTGGTGCCTCGCTTTACAATTGCCCCACATTACGATGAAACTGCTTAACAACTATCTTTTTGCGATCGAAATTACAATCACAAAATGATGGTCTGAATGGGGAAATTTCGCTTTGCGATGATCGGTTCCCTGCTTCGGGAACCGATTCTTCGCAAAACGATGTTTTTTGAACAGCTGATCGGCGGTTTCAAAATGGCCACCGGGTGATTAAAATGGCTCCCCGCTGTGTTTAGGGACAGATTCCTCGCTACATAGGCAGCGGAAATGGCCGCCGTATGTAGGATCTTCGCTGGACGATGAGTTTTTACCCCATTGAAACACACTGAACGGGTTTCAATGTGTTTCAATAGGGTTTTTATTTTCACTTTACGATGTTTTCGCTTAATGGTGATTTTCCTGGAACGGATTATCGTCGTTAAGCGAGGCACCACTGTACTCACTTTTGTTGCCAGCGGTTTAGACATTAATGGCTGAGTGTAGTGTTATTTTGAGGGGACAGCATATTTACACTGTTATACAAGCTGCATACTCACTGCTTTACATTGCAGCCAAGTGTCATTTCTTAAGTGTTGTCACATGAAAAGATATACTAAAATATTTATGAAATGTGAGGGGGTGTACTCACTTCTGTGATACACAGTATATCAATAGTATAGGAGAAAACTAAGAAAAAAAATCTTAAGAACATTTAAGAACTTACATGTATTTGATTTCCTGCATTTCAATTATAAGGTTTACATTTTGTTTGTCTAGACAGTAGTCCTCAACCTTGGGCCTCCAGCTGTTCTTGGACTACAACTCCCAGAAGCCTTCACCACCACCTCTGCTGGCCAGGATTTCTGGGAGTTGAAGTCCAAAAACATCTGGAGGCCCAAGGTTGGGGACCACTGGTCTAGAACATCTAAACAGGAAATATATTACTATTGAAAATAAACTGAATCTGACTGATACCTGCTCATTTTCATTGTTCCCACATATATCCAGAAACATTTGATTCCAGTGCCTAAGAATTCTTAATATTTTTCAACAGAGGGTTTTGTGGGAATTTAAAGAGTAACAGATTTATCATAGCTATGCAATACAGAAACATGTGTTTTGTGAAACTCTCAGAGTGAAGATACAACAAAAACACATGAATTCCTCTGACATGGCTTTCTTAAAACATCATTCCAGTTATATAATGATAGAACTGATAGGTCACCATGGCAATGAAATACACATAAAAGGATCTGAAAACATTTACAACAGTCCTCCAAATTGAAAGCAATGAACAGAATTACAATTAAGAATTATTGTATAAAGCAGATGGCAACAGATTTATTCTACTGCAAATGTGTTCTCATGAGGCAACGTGTATGTCCTTAAACATTTGGCAATTAAACAAAGTATTAATAATTATATGTAGACTCGTTGATCTTCCTAACGTTTCGCCAGTCTCTGTGGCCGACATCTTCAGAGGACAGCACTCCCAAAGCCAACTACACCAGAGCACAGAGTGCTATCCTCTGAAGATGCCAGCCACAGAGACTGGCGATACGTTAGGAAGAACAACCTTCAGAACACAGTCAAAGAGCCGGAAAAATCCACAACAACCATACAGAACTACAGTTACATATTTTTCATCTTCATGCAAGTTGTAACTCAAGAAAATTTATCCCAATGTATTGATTTCTTACATTTCTGATATGACAGATTTATTATGCTCCGCAAAAGCATTAAATCAGTGGATGCTAATGGTTTTTTTTGTTTCTTAGAACAAATAAAAATTACATTTATATTTTATGTACATAAAGACAATATATACCCCAAAAGAGGGTTCAAAATTTTAAAAAATACTAAACTAACTTCAACAGATTAGACAAAATGAATCATGGTTTAAATTGCTGGGATTTGGACCAAAAGACCCATAATCAAATGCCCATTTAAACACAACAATCTAGCATATCTCAAAAAATTATTGCAAGGAATCCTAGAAAAAGATGGAGGGAGATAATAAACAACCAAACATTGAAGAGTAATTCAGATTTTATCTAAAGCCTACAGATCACTTATTTCCTCATTCTAAGTGCAGTAAGTTCTGTTTAACACATAACCAAGGAAAAATAACCAACAAACGTTCTGGTTTATCCCTGGTGTTTCAGCAAGGGAAAGTTAAATTACTAGGGGCAAATTGAATTCTACTGTCTAAAGGAGCTAACAAGAATATAGGAGAAAAAACTTTTATTGTATGTAGTTTGTTTTGCAAAATAACTAAAGATTTCAGTATACGCTTTACATAAAAGTACTGTAGTGTACAATGAACTATGGATTTTTAATAACATTCCAAATATGATTATTTAAAATCAGAAGTCAATGTTTTCATCCATCTCCTTGTTACCATGGGGGAGTGACATCTCCTCTATGAGCCCACAGGAAGTCATAAATAATGGACTCTGACCTCTCCTCAACATGGTTCTTCTGTCTCAATGCATTGCCACCAAGTACCACACCACACAACTACTGCCACTGCTGCAGCTGCAAAAACAACTTCAGGGATGGGGATTCGAGTTGCAAGACTTGCTTAGTTTGACTTAAGTAGCACGAGTGACATGACTTGGACTTAAAGTGTTTTTTCCCCAGTTACTCGGACTTGACACATGATTCGGTACCCACCCACACCCTCCCATTTTTCTTTTTTTCTGGGGAAAATGATTATTTTTAATAGTGACTCAGACTTGAGGCTTGGGACTCAGGACTTGGTACCAAAGACTTGCCAACATCTCTGAACAACTCTATTCCATGTATATACCTCCTACTGCCCTCAAAAGTTCATGAGACAACTACCTGTACTACGAGGCAGCTCATGGCAAACTACCCCTTACAGACCACCTTTGCTGGCAGTTATCCCTAGCAAGTCTCTCCTTATCTACTCCCTACTATCCCCAGTAGAGCAATCTTCCCCTGTGTCACAGCACATCAGTGATATCCCCACACAGCTGCATCCATATCTGCTTTAGCCACTGATCATCTGCACAGGCAATGAACAGAAAGCAAATGTACCATCTCCATCACAGCACCAAGATGGACAGCACCCTCATTCAGCACACAGTCATTCCGACCTGAGAGTAACACTGTCT